ATTATTGAGTAATTCCTCAGTAAAAGCTTGTAATTGCTCAGCTCAGCAGTATTTTTCATATAGTAAACGATTCCAAAATCACAAGCCGCCACCAGCAAAGCAAGAAAAATAAAATAAACCCCCGCTGGCGTAGCTGAAGAAATCAGACCAAGCTGTGCAGGCAGTACAAACAGTGTGGTGGTAAGGCACGAACTGCACTGCGTTTTGTGCATAGCACGCTGCACACCTGTTGAGACAGGTAATGGCAACACCAGGTTTCCTGGAGGGAGTGCCACTGGTGTCCTGCTCTTGAGTTCCTGCTTTCAGGAGCACTCTTCTGGGACGTCATGCTGAGAGGCTTTTCCCCCTCCTTTTAACCTCATCTTTCTGATCTTCAGAAATGGTCTGTTCAGTAAACTTGCCCAACAACAGGTGAACTGGCTAGGTTGTTGGCCTGACTTACTCTATATCCTATCCATATTTTCAATCTTCTTGTGTCCAGTTCAGTTGTATGATCTCTAGGGGCATAAAACAATATGGTATTTTTCTAGAAAGATAAATATTTTCTCTTTAGTTGGCTTCTGCTGTGGCAGTTTGGCCAGCTTTTTCATTGGGCACTGGCTAAAAATGTTCCTACAGGGAAAAATATTGCTGAACTTAGAACGGGGTGAAGTGCAGGAGATTGTGGGTATCTGAGAGCTGTTCAGACTGCAGATGAGAGAGTTTTTTCTTCCCTCATTTGTGCAATGGAAATTTCCTTATAAGTATGGCTGCAAAAGCAATCAAAAATATTTTTAATATTGTGCTAATGAGCTTGGTTGACAGATCATGCGTATTCAGTTGAAATCCATTTCATCCAGATCTTAGGCTTTAATAACATTAGGTCTGATTTTGTGGTTTAAGATTTGGTGTAAAATAGGTACAAAGTGAATAGTGGCTTGGAATAGATCCTCATTAATACCAATTTGCACAACTCTAAGCAGATTTCATAGCAAAAGCGTCTCCGTACAGTGACTGTCTATGCAAGATGCTTTCCCCTTTCCCTGTTTTTATGGTAGATGGTTTTGGCCGTTGCCCAGAACACACGTGCACGGATTGCAGTGTTTGTATGTGCTGGCTGAAGACGTGACAGGGCCGAGTAGAGTGGGGTTTGAACTGAAGCTGCTGCCCATAAATTCTGTGGAAGCTATGGCTTTACCACGGTGGCCTTCCCTTTCCCTTGAAGAAAAGGAGAGAGGAGGGGCCGGCAACAAGGCTGCAGTGAGGAAGAGAAGTATAGGAAGGTTGCAGAAGGCTTGTGGGAAAGTCAGCCCTCCGATCCTTCATCCTCCGAGGAGAGAAACTACTTAGTGCAGAAGGGCTGCAGCTAAAACTCAGAGTGGATTGATTTAATTGCTCTCACTGATTAACTTACTGGTGCTGCAGGGAAGATGATGCTCTGGTGCTGGTAATTTTTATTTTCTTCCTAAGCCTATAGAACTAGTCTGCCTCTGATTGATTATTTTTTTCTTCAGAAGAGGTAATCATAGTGTGATCTTTAAGATGCAAGAGATCAAGGTGAAAAAACGATTGAGGAGATTAATAGTGACAGCCTTGTTTTTGCTTTTAGAAACTAGTTTTTAAAAAACGCATTTATTTGCAAGGACTGAGTTATAAACACTTTTTGTTTGTTGCTGGTGATGAAGTCTTTTTCTGTTCAGATTATAATTACAGGCGTAAAGGTACCGTTAGTAACCATCGTGATAGTAAAGGCTTCGGGATATTATGTGTAGGCTATTCTTTCACCTAGCACTGTCAGTGCGTAAGAGTTTCTTTTGGAAAATACATTTCTTGATTTTAAAAAATCCCTTCTGAGCCTCAGTGTACCATGAGTCTGAGCACCAGCCCAGCTACGGTGAGGGCATGGGCTCCACAGGTTTTATTCTGCTGTCACGTTCGGTCGGTAAGAGTATAATGATCACTTAAGTACTTGGATAATTCAGTAAAGCTTCTGTCTGTCTGAAGTTAGCTTTGCAAACAAGATGATGCCACTTTGAAAATGTTACACAGCTAAAATATCATCAATCCTTAAAGCTAATGGTGCCCCACAGTAGTTGCTGTGGACCGTGTAGCCTGTCCTCAAGTAGTCCCCTGACGCTGTGGGCAGTGAGGGGGTACCGCTGTGGTGGTAATGGAGTGTCCCAGTGCCTCTGCGGCCGGGCTGTGGAAAGCAGCCGCGGCACAGACGGGCCGCTCCTCACAAGTTGTAGAGCAGGAGCCTGTATGCACAACTCGACTCACTTCTTATTTAGCCAACCCTGAAACCTCTTCTTAGAATACTTTTGGTCCCTAATTTTTGCTTGTTTGCTAATGATGGTGATTGCGAAATGAGCCGTTCCACTCAACAAAGCACAAGTTGGCACCGTTACCCTCGTTCTTCTTGAGCACTGAATTTAATCTTTGATCTCTGTTACAAAGTAACCGAGAGCTCCGTTTTGCCCCTTGCACAGCACTGGATTCCTTGAAAGTCTTTTAGCCTTTATTTTTTTTTTTTTTACAATCAAATATGTGCTTCTGCAGGTATAAGTCAGTTGATGATGATGTCAGTTAAGGTCACACATTAAATCAGGGAGGCTGTGTCTGTGTATTTATTTACACCATCACACCACCCCCAAAAAAAAATGTTTTACCGAGGCACAGAAGCACTGAGTCTGGTGTTCTTTTGGGGAGTAAAAAGTATAAAATTAAATGCAGGGCTGTGTTACCTTTAGGAGTGACAAAAGTGTGTTACGTTCTCTGAGTGTATGCTCTACCAATTCTGCACTTGTGGAATCAAATTTTTGTCATAAAACTACACACAAAAAAGAGCCCAATGGAAAACACTTGACATGGCAAGATGAAACCATTAAAGTGCCTGTGAGGCAGCCACGGGACAGAATTAAGCTCTATCTTACGCACAACATGTGGTCCAGTAATTACAGACCATGGTTGTAATGCCATTGCAGATGGTTGTCCAGGCAACGGGAGTCCTGATTCTTTGCTTATCTTTGTAACCTAAATACTGTAATTGTTTTTACAGAACTACACAGATAACTGAATTTAGCCTTTCATACTGTAATGACAAAGCTAATGCTCGTCGTGCATCAGCAGTGTTTAACCCAGCATCCTAACCACTTCATCGGTCTCCCGCCTCCTGGGCTGGATTACGCGGCAGCAGGAGAGGGCTGCTGTGGCTGCCAGCCCTGACAGGCCGGATCATCAGCTGCGCATGGGGAGTGCGCAGAAGCACTTGGCAAACCTTTCCTCGTCGCTCCTGGTGGTAGGCCAGGGGCTGTCACATAGTTCCCTGTGCTGCTCTGTCCCCCTGAAAGTATTTCTCCCACTGTGGCTTGTGTAATTCCCACCCAGTATGTGCTACTGCCTGTCACTCTGGTGTCCCCGTTAGCCTGGCTCTCTAGAATTTGTCTGTGCACCTATTTTTGTGCTGTCTTTGTGCTCCTGAGCTGCCCAAGAAGGGTGGCTGACTTCCCAGAGTTTTCAGAAAGTTGCCCAAGCGTGACAGCTTTCTTGCTAAAGCAATTTAAAGTGTAGTAATGCGGAGTTAAGGACAGATGTTTCTGGAAAGTTCGTCTCATGTAGACCCAGCAGCCTCTATAACCAGCTGTAGGTGGAGCAGCACCATGCGCCCTGGCTGTAGCAGCATTGCTCATGATACAGCCCTCTGTGCATGCAGAGCGGTAATCATCACGCGGTGAAATTCAAGAACAACTAAAAGTACACCCGAGTGATTGCTGTGCTTTGAGGTTGCACAAGGATTGCATACTGTCATCGTTGCTTTTGCTCATTAGTATACTTATTTTCACTAGGAAACAGGACAATAAACAAAATCGTGTCATGACAGACTTGGTGACTAGAGATCACTAGGGACACGGTAACTCCTGTTTCTGCTTCTCTGGCTGCTCCTCCGGGTTCTCCTTCAAATGTCACAGAAGAGAGCCCCAGGGCACAGCGCGTGCTTCTCCACAGGAAGCATCTGGCTGCGCCTGGTGTGAGGAGCTATTTTTACCTCTGTATTGGGGAATTCATTTGGGAGTCTGTATCTCCAGCTCTACCAGACAGATGTTTCTTGGCGCTTTGGCCTGTGGGTGTATGTAAAACCATTGTTGCCTTATCAGGAGCAGCAGTAACACTGGCAGTGCAGGGGTCTTCAGGAACACCCCTCGGCATCGTACAGTTGACCATTTCTATCTCAGTCTGAGCACTGCTGTAGTCAAGGCCTGGTTTTATAAGGTTGTTCCACAAGGAAAACCCAGTGGTGTAACAGTTTTCCATGTACTCATAACCTGAGCAAGAAAAATCTGTTTGTTTTCTCTTTAAATGAAACATTGCCCTTGTCAATTGTCTTGTTCCATGTCATCGGGCCCATGTGGGACACCGTGGGGCCTGCACCGGGTACGGGATCCTGCTCTAGCATGGCTGAGGAAATGCAACAGCAGCCAGAGCTTTGGAGGTCCCAGTGAGCACATCTCGGCTAAGGTGCCCTGTAGCACCCATGTCTGTGCTGGTACTGCTGGGCCTGGCCCCATGTTAGATTCCCCGTTTTGCATTTCTCTTCGGAGGTGGTGCGTTTTAGTGCTTTCTTCCTTGTTCTTGTCCAGGGGTGTTACTAATTCCTGTATCCCTGGAGGTAAGTGGAAAACCCCCAACAAGACAGAGGGACACACTAGCCCATTTCTCAGAACTCCACTTTTATCTTGTAACAGCATTAGTGACTTAGTCTGTCTGAAGTTAATCTTTTAAATGTGTTAACTCCAAACAAGTGAGTTCCCTATGCTGCTCTGGCCTAGAGTATAATTAGGCTTTCTATGAACTTAGAGCACTTTTAATTGAAACAGTCATGAAACAGAAGAACCTTTTGTGGCATTTGCTTGATTGCATATCACGTCATTAATAGCAGAATTCAGCTGTTCTGGCTGTAGAGTGAGGATCTCTGTATGTGCAAGGTAACTCACTGTTACAATTCTACATCTGTTTACTGACAGGGCAACTGCATGTCAGGATGGCAACTTCAAACCTGGAGAACCAGCTACAGAGCGCCCAGAAGAATCTGTTGTTTCTCCAGCGAGAACACGCCAACACCCTGAAAGGCCTGCACGCTGAGATTCGACGCCTGCAGCAGCACTGCACAGGTAGCTGGGAGAGGATGCTGATGCTGATTCGGCGCTTAATTCTTTTCACAGGAATGGAGTAACTGCTTCCTACTTCAGTAGTGAAAACTCAGCAGCAAAGCCCAGCACCAGGGTCTATCTAGGGTGATCAGCATGTATCTCGGGGCACAACTGGGTGATCGTTAAGCAAAAATTAAAAAAAAAAAAAGAGCAATGTGTCACCTGACGGTTCCAGTTGTTTTACAGATTTGATAATTGGCAGTGGATCTCCTATTATTGCTTCAGGTGGGGGGAAGAGTTAGTTATATTTTTATTGAAGTATGGCATTGTAAATATGCTCACCGGGTGGGGTATGGGGTAGATGATCATGTTCTAACAAAAATAAACAACTTTTTTCCTCAGATTTAACCTATGAGCTGACTGTAAAGAGTTCAGACTTGTCAGGTAAGGAATACGTAGCATTTTCCTTTTAACGTTCATGTTAAACTTCCTCATCTTTTTCAGTGTTTGTATTTTCTCCATTACAAGCAGGTGAGAATACTTTGCACTTGGGATGTTGACTTTATGAATTCTAAAGGTATAAGAGTAGTTTTCTACTTTCCAGACTTACTGTTATTTATGAAGTAAATGTCACAAGTTCTTTACCAAGGCCACATAGGAAATCTTTGAAAGAGCCAGGAATAGAGTGTAGAACTGCTGACTCCTCTCTCTGACTAGACAGACAGTTCTGTGCACACTATATGGGAACACGGGACATGAATTTTAGGGGCAGAAGAGAGACTATTATTAAAACTTAGCTGGTACTGTAATTACACCACAAAGCTTTTATTTTTTTTATATATAACACACACACACTAGATTCTAGTTCTTTCAGATGTATTATGTTACCAACAGGTGAAGCACAGGAATAAAATACTGCCTGGGAGTAACCTCCCAGATCAGGGACAGTGTGGGACGAGAGGTGTATTGCAAATGAGAGAGAACATGGGCAAATTCAGCAAAGCAACTGAGCAGCTGAATTCAGTTCAGCTTGAATAAGCTGAAGTTCCTCTTGATAACTAGAGGATCTGCAAAATGGCTCCAATTTCGAGCGAGTTCAGCAAGCGTGGTTTCTGGAATCCCTGTTCCCCAGAACATGTGAAGCGTCTCTACTTAGTATCAACGGTATTAAACACTGCTAAACCATGGTGAGTAGCACAGCTAGCTCATCATCATTTCCTTAAAAGCTGTCCTGGTGCTTCTGAAGATGAAGTCATTTTAAGAGTATTAGCTGAAGTTAGGCTTTGGGATTTTTCTTACGGCTTTGGAATAGCAAAAGGAACCCTCTTGCACTGTTTTACTTAGTGGCTATTGTTAACTTGAAACACTTCTGCTTTTCCCGTCCTTCTAGGAAATGGGAGTTCAAGAAGTGATGAACTCAAAAGAAAGTGTGAAGATCTTGAAGCTCAGCTGAAAGTCAAAGAGGCTGAAAATAATGAATTACTGAAAGAACTTGAACAAAAGAACGCGATGATAATGGTGCTGGAAAACACCATTAAAGAAAGAGAAAAGAAGTACTTGGAAGAGTTAAAAATGAAAAGCCATAAGCTCAATATGTTGTCAAGTGAACTAGAGCAGAGAGCGAGCACTATCGCGTATTTAACTTCTCAACTGCATGCTACTAAGAAGAAGCTGATGAGTTCAAGCGGGACTGCGGAGGGGACCCCTTCTGGCAGCCCCGTGTTGTCCAACTATAAGCCGTCCCCTCCCAAAGATAAACTGCCAGAGACTCCACGGCGCAGAATGAAGAAGAGTCTGTCAACACCACTCAACCCCGAGTTTGAAGAGGCCTACAGAATAGGATCGGATAGCCGGAAGCTGCTGTTAAGAGAGCCTGTGGATGCCATGCCTGACCCCACTCCGTTTCTGTTGGCCAGGGAAACGGCAGAGGTACATCTTATTAAGGAGAGGCCGTTAGTTATTCCACCAATTGCTTCAGATCGTGCATCCGGCGAATCGCACAGCCCAGCCCGAGAGAAGCCGCACAAGGCGCACATTGGGGTGGCGCATCGCATCCACCACGTCACGCCATCCCAGCCTCAGCCGGAGGTTGAAACGCTGGCAGTGGATCAGGTCCAGGGAAGCAAAGTGGTCAGAAAGCACTCAGGGACGGACAGAACTGTTTGAGTAAAATCACGGAGACGCTCTACTCTGTTGCTGTTTATGCACTGTGATCCTGTAGGATAAATAGCACCTGCAGTAAAGTTTCTTTTGACGCCCCATGCATGCCAAACTTCTTCCAGATACATCATTAATAGATTATGCTCCTCTAATGACACCCAGTATGACTGTGTTCATAGGGCAAGGTATATAACTACTAAATGCTGTGGCCAAATCAGGGGTACCTGACTGCTTGCTGCTGAGCACTGCTCCATTTATTGTAACTACACGCGTGGACAAAGGCACAGGCTGCAGGCTGTGTTATTAATCAATATTAGTGAAAACAACCTTAACTATGAACCTGCAGCAACACGTAGTGGCTGTTAACATTTGAACTATCAGTGGTTCTTTTGTCTTCACTGTGTATGTAAGCACTGCATACCCGCACCCTAACCTCCACGACAAAGCCTTTCTCACAGTAGCATTGACGATAAATCCTAATACTTTGGTTTGTGGCTTTAAGTAAAAAAAAAAAGGGGGGGATAAAGCGCTCTTTTAAAGGGTTAATGAACCTCAGAGAGAGAGTATGAACACGGGGTTGTTTGGGTGGTTGTTTTTTTTTTTTTTAAATTAAATGGCTCCATTACACATTTTACACTAGTCAGTACACTGCACTTGTAGCACCTTCCATACTGGCTCAGAGCTCCTTTTCCAGGGAGAAAACCTAACTGGCTGTCCAATATGGAAATGGTTCTTTATGCTCTAACCTGCACTTTTTGTAAAGGGATTATTTTTGTTTCCTGAAAACCTTAGTCTTGTTCTGGGCATCATCAGACAGTGCTGGCTTCTGCCAGCTTAGAAACCTGAGCTGTCCCTCTACACTGCCTGTATTTAGTTTTAACTGATGTAACCCATTCTTACAGGAGGAGAACCTGGCATCCGTGATTTCTGTCCTTGTGGATCGGGATGGACTTGCCTTGCACTTGCCCTGGTTCCCCTACTCCTTTCTAGTAAGCAACAGGTACACTCTACAGCTGTTAGACTACTTGATTTTTTTTTTTCCCCCTAGGAAAGAAAGGCATACTGAGAGCTGTGAGAGTATGTAATTTTGGGAAAGGAGCACAAATTTGACCATTTTTCTTAAATTGTGATCAGCACCTCCAGCTCATCTCTGCTTCACTCTTCTCTGCAGCCTCTGAGTAGGACCAGCAAGAAACAATGGCTCCCAAATGCTGCTAAGCTTATGATGTGCCTTCAGAAACCTGGAACGCATAATCTCTGTGAAAGCTGATGAAGGATCCCTGCCTGCCCTCCTTCCTTCCCCTTGCCAGCTGTAGTCTGCCCCTCTCTTTTAAGCTTTTTCTGCAGCTGTGTGTCGGTGTGTGTCTCCCTCTGGAGCCTTAGATCGCTGTCAGCTTCCCCCACAAAGGCACTGGCAGGATGACAAAAGCTGTTCTTCCTAACTGTGGTACTGCTAAATTTCCTGTGCAGCATGACAACTTACAGCAGGGTTGTTCCCACTCAGAGAGGGTTTGACTGTGCGCCGGCCCTAAGGCCTCCTGTGCCCCCTCACGACTCAGTCACTTGCTGTTCTGAAGCCCGAGAAAGACGACCTCCTTGCCGGTTGCGTGGTAGGATTTGTTTCATGGCTGGTGGGGAGGGATAGGGAAAAGCTGTGTCCTGGAAAACGGTGGGTTAAAGAAAGCTTGTTATTCTGTGGTTTACTATTTTTAAGTGTATTGCATTAACCAGCAGCGGTTTGAGGTTTTTTTGGTGGTTGTTGCCGTACTTTTATGGCGATCTATTGTATGACTGATCCGCCCTGCCACTTGTTCAAGGATGATGGAAGGCACTGCTTCTAAGCACAGCAGAAGTGATGCTTTGGGCAATTAAAAACATTTCTTACAACCATACAGGCAAACCTTAGTCTTTGTGTGTGTGAGACTAACTTATTACCTCTTTCGTATACATAGACCAGCCCGGAGCCTTTCTGAACGGAAATAGGTGTTATGAAAAACACTTTCCTCTTCACATGTGTTTATTGATAGCACTAGCTTGGTTGTATCACACTATTTAAAGTCAGGTGTGCCTAAGTGAACACTACCCCATCCGTGGCGCAGAATCTCCGCCTGGTTTGACTTCTTTTTTCCCTTCCCCCCCCCCCGCCTGCAAAGGGTTGGATTCTGTGGGAAAAATCTAGTGCCAACTTCAAACTGTCAGTCTGCATTCAAGGTGAGACAAACGCCTTGAAGGACCCAGTGGGAAATGTGCTTTGTAGTGTGAAGATCAGCTTCAAAAACAAGGCCGACACCCATCGCGTTCCTTCTCAGGGAGGTGGTGTACACAGGTGTCCGGAGGGTGTTCTGAAAGAGCGTGGAGGGAAGAAGGACACTGAGTGGTGCTTGAAGTACCGCACGAAACTGGAAACAAAAAGGGGCTCTAGGAGAGATGCTTGTCTTCAGAAATTCACTTTTTTTGTTGTAAGTCAGAAATAAATAATTGACACAAAAAAAAAACAAACATCCTTTATGTCATTAACTGGTATGGGTAAATAATGAAAAGAGGAGTGGGGTTGTAAGAGCATCCCAAGATGGTTCCATACTGCCGGGATGGAAAAGAGACAGCAAATGTATTAACCCCCTCGGGTGTAGCCCCTAGAAAAGAAAAACCTGAATGATGGCTAATGTAGGAAGTGTCAAACTGCATACTTTGTGTACTGGCGGTAATGATAAAATACTGCCGCTTGTGCTACGAGGGAAGGGGCTACCAGCTATTGAGGTGTGAACACGGTGGACGTCCATAAGCCAGCCGCCCACGGTGTCCCCAGGGGAGCAGTACCTGGAGTTTGAGCCTGTGCGCTTCAGTGGGGATGATCTTCAGAACGGGTAACTCCACCACCAGGACTCCGGGCTTGCTTTTGGTAAGGCAGCTGTGCTCCGTGTCCCAGCCTGCTCCTTCCAGAAACAGACCGGACACAAAGCAGCCTGCACAGGCAGAAAACGCAACATCTCGTGTAAAGTAAGCTACTGAAGAGTCAGTTTAAGACAATGGATCCTGCAGCAGCTGTCCTTGGCGCTTACAGTCATGACTAAACTCACTTCAGCGACACAGAGGTGTACTTACCTGTGGTGTCTGTTTTTATAATACCACTGTGACCTACTGTGTTTAAAATTCTTGTGTCAAATTAAAATTGCCTCAGTTGCACTACATACGATAAACATTACTAGGAATAAATACCGATTCCCTTGCAGTTTTCTTCCCAACCCTCCGATTACTTGCCCAAGTAAGAGAGCTTTCTAACCCCTCTGGGACGGCTGGTGAGATCATTCTGACAGAAGGTGAAGGGTTGTTCCGGTACAAATACCAAGCATTGTCATGAAATGGTAGCAAATAAAGAATAGTCTAGGTAAGCCCTTGAGGTGACTTTTATTTTTAACTGAAAGTTAGGTTTAGCAAAAACAATCACATTTTTCTTGTTCCTCCTCTGTTCCCAATCAGGTCTAGTACTCAAGAGTTGCTTAGCTGTCCCCTTCACCCAGCGTTTGTTATATTTGGCAATCACAGCATTGCTAGTCACAGACATTTCATAAAGATATATTTACACAATAAATCATACATAGTTGTATTTACTTTTTGTTTAAATATATTTCAATGTATTATTTGTGGTGTAAATAGGTCTTTATAAACCTGCTGGGACTGGTAATGTTCTAGCCATTAAGGAAAAAGTGGATATATACGAGAGCGAGAGCGCGCGCAAGGGAGAGGTGTAAGTTCAAACACACGCGTGTGGGTGAAAAGAGCTGAAGAGAGAGGGTCGTACTTGGCGTTTGCAGGGGCTCAGCAGGGAAGCAGCAGCCGGAACCCAGCTACTGCCCAGCTTGAAATCGCGTGGACTGTGAACTGTATGGCCAAGGGCATTGTCTGCGGAGGTGTAATCAAAGTAGTTTACTTGGTAGGCCGGGCAATTCCTCTCACCAATTAACTCGTTCCTTTATTTTTGCCAAATACTCATACAAACACCTACCTTGAGTAGACCCTTCGGTGATGTCTTCTGCAGTCCTGTACGCGGTCACCTCTGTGTAGAGGGTGGAGTGATCCAGGGGCCACTTGTTTTTCCTGCAGGTGGCTTGAACAAGAGCCGTCAGGTAAGATTCTGGGACGTGGAGGCCTGAGAGCCACATCACCTTTGGCTCACACCCGTTAACCTGCAGTCACAGAAGACAAGCTGCAGCACCTGCTCCCACCACCCCCGTACTCAGCCCAGAGGCCAACGCTCTTAAAGACTAGCCAGGGGCTAGTCTGTCTTGCATCCACAGTCACGCAATGATTCACTATCGTTCTAGGTGGTGATTTGCATTAGTTCCAGTAACTTGTCTAAAGCAGCGTGTGATCACCGCCTTCTGCACCAATTTGCGTAGCGTATCATGCAGATTAACAAAACAAAAAGCTTTCTGGAGGCACTCACCCAGCTGGTGTACTGGTTATAGCGAGCTCTAAAGAAAATAATCCAATTTCCAAGTGTTTTGAGTGTATCGGGGGCTAGTCGCCGCCAGATTCCAGGAATCTGTCCATTAAAGAGAGCCCGAGCCACATCATCCAGTTCACTGCTCATTCCAACTTCCCCAGCCAAGGCCTGGAAAGACGGCGAGAGTCTGAGTGCCAGCCCGGGGCAGGTAAAGCCTGACTGATTTCCCCTGGTTGCTGCGCGCGGCAGTAGCTGCGTTCCTACTTACACGCTGCAGTTCAGCCAGTGACTTTGCCATTCGAACGATCAGTTTATTAAAACGTTCCAGTTCCTGCAACAGCACCACAGTGGTAGGGGGTATCTCTGGTCCAAAACCTTTCCGTATCTGGTCAAGATCGAATACTTGCGGTATTTTGTTTTCTATATCCTTAGCAACATTTGCAATATATTCATCCCGACCAATTCCTGTACCAGTTTCACCTGAACAAAAATGGTTTAGTGAGACTGAATCTGCATGGGTTACCCCTTCTATTATTAATTCTCCAGGAGAACTTTGAGAGCTGAGCCACCCTTTGGCATCGAAGTCTCCCACCCCCTGCAGCACTGACATTTGCACCAGAAGACTCCCTGCGCGCCTCAAACTGCCTCTGGGCACGTGCTGAACT